AGCTAACAAATGAATTTAGGTCATGATCAACACATATCTGTTCAAAATCTGGTCTAGGCATTGTCTAACTCAGCAAACATCTTAGACTTAGTTTCCCCATGTCTAAAGTGGGAACAGTCACTTAAGATAAGGCAGTTATTACATGTTATCCATGACAAATACTGACAGGACATTATGTTTTCTTTATGCCATCTGCAACATTGTTCTACAACATCATTAATGGTGACAACCATCTCATCCTTAACCATGCTAGGTGAAGTCCTTTGGTTCCTCAACTCTGTTCTAAACAAAGCTGTGTCATAAGAGAAGCAAAATTCTTATCTGAAGATTACTAATAGGGGTTAAAGAGGCTACTTACCATACTCAGAAAGGATGTTTTTGAAGCTGCACTGTCACTGGGACACACAGCTGGACTAAGCACCAGTGGAACAGATTGCAGTTTACAACCACCTGAAGTCAACAGACTAGAAGAGAACTGAATATTTTCCACTTGGTTGGGAGCAGTCTCATGTCGAATGAAAACAATCTCCCAAGAAGAGTTTGACCTAAATGAACAATAGCAACAACAACAACTGACTGTACATAGGTATCATATGCTACATTCTTACTGCAATAATGAAGACTTATTTGTACTGTTGTAGTTTCCAAATGCTGCATATGGCAAATTAAGTTTAGTGCATATAAAACAGTGGGACACAGATTTTATTGCAAAGTTGAGGATTTTTTTGGTGGCTAGGATATATGGGTCTAATTTTACTATTTCTAAGGGCTTCATGTTTTTAATGTGATGTTGCAAGCCTTTGCTATAGGGCAGGCCACTAGCAAATAAGTGTTGCAACAAAAAACTCAACTTTCATGATCAAAATAAAGATGATGACAACTACAAGTGCTTAATAGTTTTCCAGCATCATTTCTCTTTTAATTTACACACATTTATTGTATGGGAAGTTACTGTTTAACAGTGAAAGTCTTCATTTATACCCATCTCTTCCTCTTAAAAGTTTAGGATGAAAGCTGCTATACAAGAGTTTCTTTTTCACGGCTCACTAATGCTTGATGCTGTGAGCATTTTAATCAACACGCCTTCAAAATTCACTCTGCATTTAAGAGGTACAAAGACACCTATTGACTAAATCTAAACTAGGAAGATAGGGAGGGGGTGGGGTGAAAAAACACAATGTCCTGGGCTCTGGTTTTGCAGGGTTACCTTAGCTTTGTCCTGTTGATTAGAGTCCTTGCCTCTTCATAGGTAATTCCAATAAATGACTCCTTGTTAATAGATACAAGCTGGTCCCCTGGTTTCAGCCGACCATCCTAACAAAAAGAACAAGGACCACATTTAGTATTGCTTTTCACAATCAGTCCAAAGAGGTCAACAAATACTTCTGAAATCTATAACTCCTGAGGAAAGCCAGGTTATTCACTTGTAAGAAAAACACCATCAGAGAAGGGACCAGCCAGGATTGATTTACTGGTGCCAGACTTCGCCTGATAGTTCAGGCGGGGAGTGGTGATGGGAAGGGTAAAACAGCTGCATACATTTACCCTACTCATGCCAGGTATTTTGCCCCTTGCTCTGCTTTCTGCCTACATGACATGAACTGGGTCGGCTTATTTTGTAGAGCACTATACACCTTCCCAGGTTTTCCTTGCAAAGAGAACCTGCTAATAACAAACAAGTCATATAACACACACAGACACTGTGGGAAGCAAAGAACAGCTACTACAGCAACATTATTTTTTAAAAGCAGCTGACAGAAGCAAACCAGTACCATGTACCAGCACAGAGCAGGCAGAAACTGCTATCAGAGTAAACATTTGTCCCAAGGGACTTGAATGTCTGCTTATGAGCATATATGAACTATATGTTCAAGGAAAGACATATGATAACAGCAAAACTATATTGTAGTTTTTTGTTTTGTTTTTTAAGAATGCAATATAGTGGCTTTCTGTAGGAATACAGGAACATTCTTGAATGTTCTTGCAAAAACAGAAGAAATCCAAAGAACTCTTGCCCTGGATAGACTGTACATTAAAGGGAGGAATTCTAGCACAGCTGACATGTGAGGCAGGGGAAGGGCTGCTATTGAAAATACAATGCCTTTATGTATTTTCTGGGCCAGAACAGTCCCAAAAGAAATATACTGCATACATTTTCCCACCCGTGAATGTGTAGTTCAGTCTGCTTTAGGCAACAGCCCAAATCCAGATCATCACAGCTGTTACTTTCACACATAAAACTTTATATTAGTGAAAGGTATGAGAAAAGAAGTAGAATTGGTAAAATTGGTATTTTAGTGTTCCCATTTGATATTTAAAGCAGGTACTGGGTGGTATATTAAAATGTATATATATATATACATATTGCACTCTGCAATAAATGGAAAAACTGAGAGGATAAAAGGAAAGGCAGAGAGATATGGAAGGAATATGAAAATAGGAAGAGGAATATGGAATATTATCATCTGGAAGTACTGACGTACTGGCAATGAGAGGTTAGCACAAATACCTAGGTGAACTGCTTTGTTGCTAAAGAGGGTTTATAATACACTTGTCCCTCCCCATTTTCAGACTTGGAGTCTGCAGTGTTGTTCCTTCACGGATGGCAAGTGGGGAGGGACAAAATGGTATGCATATTTGAGGTGCACACACAGGAGCACATACCCATTTTAACCAGTGGGCTTTGAATATTTGTGGTTTTTCCTATTCGTGTGTGGGGGCAGGGTCCAGGACGGATCCTCTGAATTGGGAGGGATGATTGTATATAATATCTAATATATTATAATATATATCAGATCAAATAGATGTCAGTGGAATTTCTGCTGGCATAAAATTGGACCCAGATGGTAGTTTTGTTTTAGAATTAAGCCACAGAGAGTCTGTGAGAAGTGTCTGTACCAGTTAATCCTGCGCTGAGCTGGATTAATTTGTATCAGAGGGGTGGTGTAGGAGGCAAGAGATCTGGTTTCAACAGTTCTGCATGAAAATTTGGTCAATATTTGGATAAGAAACCTGCAAACAATGACTTTTACACTGATCATTTAGGGAGCCTTCTCCAAATTAACAATGTGGAGGTACATCTGACTATAAATCTTATTATCCCTGGCAATGTGAGAGGCTAAAGGTTGGATACAGGGCACAAAAAGATCAGTTCAGTACCATCTAAGGTCAAATCACTTCTGAAAATGCAGATAAAGGACTGGAGAAAAGGCAGGGGAGAAGAAAGAAGCATTTATTAAATACTTTTCCTCTGGTCTGATCTCTGGAGGAGAAAAGGGTTCTAAAAAGGGTCCACACAATAAAACTACGACTATGAATTATTGATATAGTTGACCAACAGCATCCTATATGTGAAAATACATCTGTTGGTCAGCTCCTCACGTTACTAGTACTAATTGGTTTGCATTTTTAGATGCTTAGATATAATTTTCACTCCCATATAACTGAGCAACATCTGTTCTGCTCTTTAATATTTACTTTTTACTAAATGAAAATTCTTTTTATTTGCCAATGAATCCTGAGACAAGCAACAATGCTGACCTCTGGTGGCAAACAAAATATCTCACATTTGAAATTAACAACAAAAGCACATGAACAAACTAGGGGGCATATCAAAAAGATAATAACCTTAACATATTTAAGAGTAACAACGGAAGATGGGTTTCTTTACATCAATAAATGCTGAGAATAGGAACCTAAACATTTCTCTGACAGCTGTATAAATCATTTCAATGTCATAATTCTATATATAAAAAGTAGGAAGCGAGGGGAACTGGGGGAAAGGAATTGAGAGAACCAGTGTGATGTAGTAGTTTGAGTGTTAAATTGCTACTCTGGAGACTAGGGTCCAAATCCCTGCTTGGTCATGGAAACTTGGAGGGTGGCCCTGGGCAAGTCTCATTTTCTCAGCTTCAGAAGAAGGCAATGCCATACTATCTCTAAACAAATCTTGCCAAGAAAATTTATGATAGGTTCACCTTAGGGTTTCCATAAGTCAGAAGCAGCTTGAAACACACAACAGCAACAAAGAAGCACCTTTAAGACTAACTGGTTTTTATTTTTGCATTAGCTTTTAAGGATATAAACCCACGTCATATGCAGTACAGAATGATATTAAAAGCTTAAGTATAAAGCATATTTATGCAGTTGTGAGAGTGGGATAACATGTAACAGGATCTAGAAAGATGCAAATCATGTCCTTTGCCCTAAGAAGAAGCTTATTGTCCAGGAAAGCCACCAAGAGTGCTGATAGCAGCTTGTTGTGAGGGTTGAAGGCAAACAAAAGTCTTTTGCTAAAACAAAGCAAGAAAGCAAAGATCCAGCCAGAGAATGGTCAAGCAGCCCGAAGGTCTAGGATTCCAGAGAGGCAGAGCAACAAGGCAATCTAAAGGTCAAGGGTTCCAGAAGTTCAAGATAAGTCAGCAGTCCGAGAATCAAGGTTTCAGGCCAAGGAACAAGGAGACACAGAGACTTTCACTGGGAAGCTCAGATAATCTCTGGCACCAAGGCAGCTCTTCTGCACCTGCTTAAATCCCCAAGCTGCAGGAGCTCAGCTGAGGCTGATTACTTTAGCATTTTTAATAAAGTCTCCTCAAACGGTGAAGGCCCTTCCTTTCTGCTTGATGCTGGCTGAAGGTAGATATTGTCCCATGATCCTCCTCCATGTCTGAAGGTTCTGCTGCTGGGAGGCTTGGCTGTGGAGCATCCTGGGAGACCACAGGCTCTGCTGGAGTGGGCACAGCAGAGCTAGGGCTGGTTGAGGCTCCACAGCTGCAGGCTCAGGTCCCAGAGGAGGTTCTGGCTCATCCCCCTCGTCCTCCTCCAGGCAGGGCATGACACTTATGCTGCAAGAGATTAACATGGCTACTTCTTTGATAGCTGTATTTTGTTGTCATTTTGTATGCCTTCAAGTAATTTCCGACTTATGGAAACCCTAAGATCATGGGGTTTTCTGGGGCTGAAGGTATGTGACTTGCTCAAAGTCACCCAGAGGGTTTCCATGGCCAAGCAGGGAATCAAACCCTGATCTCCAGAGTCCTAGTCCAATGATCAAACCACTACACCACATTGGATCTTGATAACTGCATGCAATTGTACATTTGTTTTAAATGAGCTATCCTAAATCCTCCACAGGTGCCTATGTCTCCAGAAACCATGTGAAATGTACCTCCTATAGCACCAGATCTTTCTGCTAGGATGTTAAATTTCCCATGGCTCCTGGCATTCACAGGCAATGCTAAATGCGTGTAGACAGGCCTCCCAGCAATACTCACTATTAGCTATACTGGCCAAGGTCAAATGGAACAGCAGTCTGACATCTGTAGAGCTGCATGGACGTGATCCCTGCTGTACAGAGTCACCAAAAAAATCTACGTTTTAACAAAGGGTTTACCATGAAAACCATGCTATGGAGTTCAAGAAAAGTGTGTGTGTGTGTGTAAGACGGAGATGTTGTATGTGTGTTGAGATCAGTTGGCCTCATCCCACTCCTAGAGATATCATTTGGGAGCCTCACAAGGCCGAAATTGATTGGACTTTGATTATAAACAATTAAATATTACTTTTAAACTAGTTTTAATTACTTTTTGTTCTTTAATTTAAATTATATCATTCATACTTCAGGCCTGATTATCAACAAAGAAACATTACTTAATATTAACTATTATTAAGTAATTATTCTTTGATTTAAATTACATAATTTTACTTTAAACCTCATTACAAACAATTATGTCTTATTATTTAAATAAAGTTAAAATACTTTTTATTCTGTAATTTAAGGTACATCTATTATTATTGTTGTTGTTGTTGCTGCTGCTGTTATAATATTTCTTACCCACCTCTTCCTAGGGGTCAAGATGGAGAACAACAACAAATTAATAATAATAATAATAATAATAATAATAATAATAATAATAATAATAATAATTTATATCCCGCCCCTTTGAGATCAAATTAACAAATTAGATCAATCTGAACTGGGCTGGCTGGGATTATGGGGTTGTAAAGTAGGATTGTACAAAGAGGAAAGTTTATTTAAAAAAAATGAAGATAACATGCCTAACATGGAATGTTCTCTCTGTTTCTGTCCAGACATAATAGAGTTTGCCAGCTACATTGTAGTTATCCTCACTGCCAATCCCTATATTAGAATAAAGATGGTTGCCTTTAGTTTTTGCTCAGCTGTAGTGACAGTTGTAGTTAGACCTTGGCAGTTCAGTTAATAACTAGGACCTGAGAATTCACTTCATTTAGCATCTATTGATAGCCAAAACAGGTAATACAAAACAAATCTAATTGGATTATTATAAAGAGTGGCTGGAATATGTTAAACTGACCTGTACATTCTATCACACTCTATACCAGTCTTTCCCAAGTTGCTGCCCTCCAAATGTTTTGGACTACAACTTCTATCAGCCACAATCAACATGGCCAATGGTCAGGAATTCTAGCAGCTATAATTAATCTGGAGGGCACCAGGTTATGGGGAGTCTTATGCCTACTTCTGTAAATACATATAACACTGGAATAAAGAGAGAAAGCAGGAGTTGGTCCTGTCTTGATCATGATGTGAAAATGGATTGGATTATGAAGTATTACTGTTGTTGTTTGCAGCCGCTAATATCACTGCTTCTGTTGCTTCCAGTTCACCTACTCAATGGTGCTGATAGAAGGGAGAAATCTGTATCTGCTTCTCGATAACACTGGTTTTTACAGAAAGCTGGTAAGGAGAACTCAAAAACTTTTCTTGAAAATTAAGTAGACAGGAGGGAGTTTGAACAGAGAGGCCAAATCTTCAGTTAGTGTAAGAAATAGTAAGGTTACAATTCCAATGCAAATTGCACTGTCTCATAATTGCATTGTCAGTGACATTTTAATCTCATTCCTGTGCCTTTCTTAAATAATGTACATTGTTTAATTGATTGCTTTTTCATGCTATTCTTCATGCTAAAATAATGTTACCATCTCTGTATTCAGGTTTGTATGTTACATCTTATGGGTTTGTTCATCAAATAAACCAACTGTTTTGTTTCAGCAAACGCAAAGCTTGTGGTCTTTGACACATGCTTTTCTGTCTGGCCTACTGGGATGAAAAGATGCACAACTCAGAGATGTAGGTATTGCAAGGAGACAATCAAGGCATTTATGCCTCTCCAAATGGTGGTGTAACTTTAACTTTTAACAGCTCCATGAGTATAGCATTACAAAATGGAGAAGGAATCTCATATTGTTAGGAGCAGGCTTGGGCTGCTACCTTCTACTCTATTGTGGGTGTTGAGGCAGCACCCAAGTAGGTAGGAGGAAAATTATTTTACATAACAGACTAGTGACATGTACTATGCCCCTACTGCAAATCAGGGCAGATCACTATTAGGACTGAAACAGACTCAAAACAGTTGAGCAGGTACTAAATCAGCTCTCCACAACCTGCTGCCAGGCTGGCTGGGCATTAGAGTATACTGTAATACAAGGAAGGACATATTAAATGTGCAGCCCTCCCCATACATATTGCAGGAAGAAAAGGAGCAAACAGAACAAGACTTCTCCTGCAGCCCCTTATCTACCTTGTGACAATCACCTCCAGGAATAACTTCCAGAATATACACCAAGGGCCCTTCATTTCTGTTAATGCCTCCTACAATGTTCAAGCCGAGGCCTGTTCCCTTGGAAACTGCGATAATCTGAAAGGCGCTGTCACTAAACAAGAAGAGAAAACAAAGTTAGCTTTAAAAGGTCAGTGAATGAGGAGAGAAAAGAACCAGGGAAAAAAGACATAGACCAGCCTGCAGCAGACTTTTGTTTTCTCACAAGCATGCTTTGACAATTGGTCATTCTCAGCTGCTTAAATTTGAATCCGGAGCACCTCTTCCCCCCTCAGTTCCAAAGGTGCTAGTTTGTGCAATCAGGAAAAGGTAAATTGGATCAATCAGACCTGCACAAATGGAAGCCCTTAGAGAGGGCCCTAATGGAGTTCTTTCATAAAGACAGATCTGTTTCTGTGTGCTAGGACAGAATTCCTTCTAGTTTATCTTAACAATCCCTTTCCCCTTTAAGGGCCGAGGGACTTCAGCTCCCAGAAGCCTCAGCCATGTTAGCCAATAGTCCCATGTTGACCAATAGCTCCTGGGATTCTGGGAGCTGAAGTCCCTCAGCCCTTAAAGGGGAAAGGTTGCCTACCCCTGAATCAAAGCAATCAAACTGAAATACCTCTGAATCTATTGCTCTGGGTGCTTGCAAGCTGATGGTTGTTGGAGTTACTAATCAATAGGCAATGTGTAACTATTTCATCTTTGCCACCTTAAAGGGCAAAGGATTTTTTTGGGGTGAGGGTAGCAAAAAGAAAAAAAGGCAGAGGAAGCAGTGGAGAAAAGAGGATAGTTACACTGGAGCGCTTCTAAAATTCCATTTTGCAGGCAGGGCAACTGCACAATAATTGGAAATACTCCGTCTCCAAGCCCCTGCACACATTAAAAAGTGAATTTTATGAACCTGTACCAATATGAACACACACAGAGACAAAAAACAAAAAACAAAAAACAAAAAAAAACCTATGTGATGCTTAGCTGCAAGCCAGCACCATTCCCCACAGAGAAAACACATTTGATACTTCTCTCCAGAGAGCTCTAAAGACTGGCAAGCTTGGTGCCTCTGCTGGTCCCTTGGACATACAGCCATCTGCCTCAGAGAAGACTTGCTTTAAAAAAAAGTTGTAGAACCCCGTTGCTAAGGAAGAGTGATCATATTTTTATCCCTTTCCATAGCACAAAATCTAACAGAGAACACAGGATGGGTCTTTATGCTTATGAGTGCTAGTGCTCTGGCTAGAGGAAATCAAACCAGGACCTCAGGACTTCAACTCTAGATTTAAAAAAAAAGAAAAGATAACAAAATTGAGGGGGGAAAGAAGCAAACAAAAACAAGGAGGGCAGCTATAGCTCTGTAGAAATGCCTTTGTCTTTTATGCAGAATGTCCCAGGTTCAGTACTTAGTATCTCCAGGTTAAAAAGTATCAAAAGCAGAGTAAGAGAAAAATTGTTCCTAATAGACTCTGGAGAGCTGCTGTTAGATCAAGGTTCAAAAACCTTTTTGTCTAGATGGACAAAAAGCCTAACCTAGTTTTTTTTTAAAGGTTCCTATGGGTGAGATGTGGGGAACCTCAGGCCATGGGGCCACAGTCAGTCCTTCTGGCAGCTATAATGGCCTTGATGATGGCAAACAAAGGTCCAAAACACACAGCAGAAATAATCCAGTTTGAGACTGCTTTAATTGCCCTGACTCAGTGCTAGGGAATCCTGGGAATTGTAGTTTATTGTGGCACCAGAGCTCTCTGGTAGTGAAGGCTAAATGTCTCACAGAACTACAGTTCCCAGAATCTCCAGGGCAGTTAAAGTGGTCTTGAACTGGATTATTCTGCAGCGTGTTTTGGACCAAATTGAAGCTTAATCTAGACAAGGCAGAGGTGCCCCTTGTCAGTTGAAAGACAGATCCAGGAATTGGGATTCAGCCTGTGTTAGATAGGGTTATATTTCCCTTGAAAACTCAGGCTAGTAGTTAGGGTGTACTTCTGGATTCAGCTCTGAGCCTGGAGGCCCAGGTTTTGGAAGTGTCCTGGACTGGTTTTGCCTAATTAAAGCTAGTGAGCCAACTGCATCTGTTTCTGGAGAAGTCAGACCTGGCCATAGTGGTACATGCCTTGGTTACCCATTTAGATTACTGAAATGCATTCTATGTGGGGCTACTTTTGAAAAATACTCAGAAACTTCAGCTGGCCCAAATAGCTGCAGCCAGGTTGTTCACTGGAGCTAGCTACAGGGAGCATACATACCCTTGTTGTAACAGTTCAATTGAATGCTGGTCTGTTTCTGGGCACAATTCAAAGTGCTGGTTTTGACCATAAAACCCTATATGGCTTGGGTCCCTATTTGAAGGACTGTATCTCCCTTTATGAGTCCACTAGAGCAGGGGTAGGCAACTTTCCCCTTTAAGGGCTGAGGGACTTCAACTCCCAGAATCCCAGGAGCTATTGGCCAACATGGCTGAGGCTTCTGGGAGCTGAATTCCCTCGGCCCTTAAA